GAACAACATTCAAACTCAAATTCTGTCATCCTTCCAAGACTCCAATCTAAGTCGAACCCCGGTTCAACAAACTTTCAATTTGTGAAAGCACACAAACTCAATTCTTCGAAACCGGTTCCACCAAAATAATTCTCTTGTAAACACAAAACTCCATCTGATCAACCGGTTCCACCAAACTCGATTTTGTTGCCCCAACTATGGCCCCGCGCGCTGTCAGAAAGGGCTAAGCGATTGTCCAGAAACTGGGCCTGGAGAAATGTGTCATGGTCGCCATCCTTGTTTCTTCTGACCAATTCGTAAAAGCTTCTTACATGCGTGTTGCGCATATTTGGCGCACAAAATTCGAGTTTCTGTGGAACCGTCGACAGAAATTGAGTTTGGTTTACAAATTGAGTTTTGGGTACAGATCGACGGAGAATCGAGTTTGTTGGACTGACTGGGGCTGGCAGTGCAGGACAGGCCTAACAGTCCGTCCGAGCGACGCGGTTCGCGGACCAAACAGCTCGATTTTGTGCCGCGGGGGGGGCGCAAGCTGATATGGAAAGAGCACGCGGGCGGGCATGATAACGCGCGTAAGGTGTGCGTAGCGGATTCGGTGCAGAGCGAAAACGCGATATGGTATAGACCTTCTTGACAGTGCGCGTGATGGCCATAGCCTTTGGGCAGCGAGAACGCGAGCGTGTCTGTGGAACGGTTCGGACAGAACTTGAGTTTGTGCTTTAGCATAAATGTGAGTTGTGTTGGTACGACAGACGACAGAATTAGAGTTCTTGTGTTCACGAAGAGATTGGAGTTTTCGTGTGGAAGAGCGGCGGGCGCCATGGCAGGACAGGGCTCAGCATTAGGCTGTGCGAAAGCCGGGGGTCCGGCTCCCACAAGAACTTGGCAAACGTCGGATTTGTTGCCGGAAATATGGCACAGACGCACGTGAAGAAGGGCTACCGATCTGGTCAAGAGAAACCCAATGGTAGCCGCTTCTAAATGCGTTGTGGCGCATACATGTCTGGGCCAACCACAACATCGAGCTTCTGTGAACCGGTCCCGTCGAGCCAGGAAATTGAGCTTGTGGTGGTCCATCAAAATCTGTGAGGTTTTGTGCAGGACAGGACTGCCAGAGATTGGAGTTTTGCTGTTCTAGCGAAAATTGAGTTGTGGAACCGTCTCCACAGAATGTCGAGTTTTGTGTTTTACAAACATTGAGTTCTGTGCTGAACCGGTTCCGACAGAAGGTGAGTTTTGGTGGTTACCACAAGAAATATGAGTTTTTGGAACCGGTGTTGACAGAATGAGTTTGTGTTCACAGAAATTGAGTTTTTGTGGGAACAGGGATGACAGAATGAGTTTTGTGTCACAAAATCATTTTTGTCAAGTTATAGTAAAAAATGCCTGTCCTGCATGCGCCGCCGTAAATGGCACCGCGAAAGACCTATTAGTTGATAAATCAAAACAATTGTTGTCGTTTTTTATCTCTTGACTTCGCGACGCTGACCGGTTTTTGTATGATCGAATCATGTCTAGCTACTCACGACAGGCGTAACTACCCAAGTTCAGACAAAGATTACTTACCGTAGGCCTATATCAACTCCGTCATAGTTACTATTGAGGGGTCATCTTTCACAAGTCTGTCGAAATACAGATTGTGAGTGACTGCGTACAAGCATTGTCAAGCTTTTGCCAATCGGCAAAAATTCCGCTTATTCTAATCACTACGCGCTCCAATGGGCGTTGTTGAACCACATACTGATCTCGAAAAAAGAAAGCTAATACTGTCATGACGGTACAGCTCCGTTGCCCATTTCACGTACAACGCGCAAGTGATAGGGGATAAGGGTAGCAACGTACGACCAGGCCGACGAATAGGGCTGGAAGAGGTCGGAAAGGAATATACAGCAGCAAAATGCTTCGCTCGTGTATGATCACGACACAACTATGCCACACAATTAAGGCGCAATGCATGGAAGGTTAGGGTGTTCAGGTCACTCATCAAATAGCATCAGCGAATAAGAATACTATATATATTTACTATAAAATAAAATAGCAAAGCAATATCAGTGCGTTCTTGCAGCGCGAAGATAAAGCGTCTGCGTTTTAGTTTTGGCAATGTCGCAGAAACCACTCTGCACGGCTAGGTGATGTGATCTCGGAGGAGGAAATGAGTTGCAAATGTATATGATACGCTCATACGTGACAAGATGAATGGAATTAATTACAGATTATTGACTAATCTGCTCAGTAGTCTGCTAATTAATAAGACGCAAATGAGTATTTTTGATGATAGAGTGAGGATCGAAGATCAACTAAGAAGGTGTCTAGTTTCTCTTAGATTGTAATTTTAAATAGTGTTATAAGTTCATCCTGGGGATATTGAGCTGCGTTGCCATGCCATGTAATGCATACGCATACGCACATCTTGACATGATGATTAAATGCAAAAAATTATTCCAAATTAATGCACCAATGTCGCACACAGTCACCCTTCTGCTAGTTAATATACAGTATTAGCGCATGTACCTCTGTACTAGTTTAATCGACAAGATAGCTACAGTCAATCCTCTATGCGATTTAATCAGATAATACATTTCAGTTATTCTTCCTGTGTTAGTTCATCAATAATAATCTGGCAGTAATCCTCCTCCTGAGCTAGGCCGCATCAATAATAGAGGTAGTCATTCTTTCTCTTTTGCTAGCGCACACCGAATATATTAGCAGCCATGTTTTCCTGGTGATACCCCTCGAAAATATTGTCAGTCATTCATTCTGTGCTGCGTTTATTCAACAAGATATTCAGTCATTACTTCTACTGCTACCCGCAACTAACGATATATCGCAGTCATTCTGTTCATGGAACAGTGCATCAACATATATTGGCTGTTCTCTCCTGTGCTTATGTCTATCAAAAGCATGCAGTCATTATCCTAGACAACATTGCCGGGTGTTGCTAGCACACCGATATGACGTATTGACTTTTCACTTATAATTCAATAACGGTAATTTTAAGTAATGCTGTTAGTGCCAACGCATGGAATTAATATAGTTCAATCTAGAAAAAATTCTTAAAATAACGTGAGCATAATAGGGTCGATGCGCACACGCTCACGCGCCAACATAAGCTCATTAACATAAAAATTCACAGTGTCACACGCTCCCGCGGAGTAATGCTAGATCATGCCGACTTTTGTGAATGTTTATCAAACGTATTTCTTTCCCATGATGCGGGGGTGGTGTAGAAGTAGCTGTGAATGCTCCCATAGTAAGATATCCCCGCCCCGGGTAGGCGTTCGCTGCGTAGTGACTAGATAGGAAACTTGTGATATTGGTGTAAAAAAAGGTTAGTAAGTAGGAGAGAGTCCTCTGCCTGGAGTCTGTCTGAACGAAACGTATTACGTGCGTCATGCAGTCTCGGAATGTGAAGCCGACTCAGATAATGCAGGAGCTAAAAATGCAGAGCCATAAATCAGATGAATTGTTATGTGCACTTTTTAACGAAATCCTGAAAATTATACTAGCACACAGTTAGTTTAAGATATGGACATTCATATGAGATCAGGTACCCATCTCTATCACATAACGAAAGCGATTGAAGTTCACCAGTAAAGTAATGTGATAAGAAATATCAGGAGTAGATAATAGTCCCTATTATCTACTCCTGGAAATATTGAACAAGATGCAAGAAATTACGTCATATAAATTATTGTTAATTACTGTTAATTAGTATTAAGACATAATCGAAAGTGATGTCACATATAACCTGATATGTCTTAACAGTGATTTATATTAATCAGTGTAACGTCGTAGAGCTACGCCCGACGAAAGATGAACACGTTTAGACATTTTCTGATTTAAAGATTTATTATTATATCTAATTTAGCAAGCACGTCGTAATAACGCACGCGAAATGGATGTACTCGTCGACAAGAGAATTGATGATGCCGAACGCTTACTAATACCTCGCAGGAGGTTAACCAAATTCACTCGAAGCCACAAATGCAGCAGACGAAGATAGATAGACTTCGTGTGCATGCATGGACAAAGAGTGTTATAGCGCGTGTAATATTATAGTAGTATGTCTAGAAATCGCATCTCGTTCTGCGAAATGAAATATGGCAGCATTGATAACGTTATAGCTGCCATGAATCTATACGCAATACAATGATAGTTTTAACAGTGTGTGATTTTAAAAAGCTCTGTGATTTTTTTTATAGGTTTGCGTCTGCGCAATAAATTTAGTCAATTAAGGACTGATCGTTCCGAATAAAGGTTAGGTATTAGTTAGATAACAACTTTGCTGCGGGTACGTCATGCAGTTTTTTTACTGAGCTTGAAAAGGAAGAGGGTCAAACTAAAGCAACTTTTTGTTTAATTGATCAATTGATTGATTGTTTATTTAGTTAGGTAAGTATCAGAGAATACATTGTAAACAATAAGTACGTACTATTAAGTACGCCATTACGCCACGCCACGACACGCTACGCCACGCCACGCCACGCCACGCCACGCCACGCCACGCTACGCTACGCCACGCCACGCCACGCTACGCTACGCCACGCCACGCCACGCTACGCCACGCTACTACTCCACACCACGCCACGCTACGCCACGCTACGCCACGCCACGCCACGCTACGCCACGCCACGCTACGCCACGCCACGCTACGCCACGCCACGCCACGCCACGCTGTGGCGTGGCGTGGCGTGGCGTGCTACGCTGCCACACCACACCGCAGCACACAAATTTTATATAAATATAATTAAACTATATATACTCTATTATTGTTTTGCCATTATTATTATTGTTATTATTATTATTATTATTATTCATTGATGTGTTTGTGTTGCGATTGCGTAATACATATGCCCCAAACGTAATTATTATGGACTAACAAAATATCGGAATAATAATATATAATAAGATATCGGCATTATATACTTTGCATGCATACAAAATGGTTATAATCATCATGCTTAAGATGCCGTCGTTTAGACACGTATTTGCTATTCCAGAAACTCCGCTATGGCTGCTGATGATCGTAGCGCCGATAAAAAACGAAAAGGACAAAGTCGTCCTCTTCCTCTGCACTTTCAAGGACATCACAGCACTCAAACAACCTATCAACGAGAATGACGAGATAGGTAACCGCTGCATTCCAGTATTATGACAGCGTCAGTTGATTTACATATCATTACTTTCAGACGCATTTTCAGACAAACGAATAATATTCTTACCTTGGCCTTTAAAGCTATGGCTGCTTACTGCTTAAGGTAAACATCGCAAACCCCAAATGTCATTTACCTGTGACATCTGCCGCAAATTGGAAACGCAATATATGTAGATTATATTCCACTGATCAGAAGAATCTCTTTATAAAACCTGTCGCAACGCTCCGGTTGGAAATGCCAGCAACAATAGCTGCTATATTCGTACTGTACTCGTAGGTACACGCCAACTTCGATAATGAGATTTTTTTTCAATTTGTCAGTATCTGCCCCTGATATTGTATTTAAAGTCGTAGCCTTGTACTAATAGAATATCATACTCGATGCTGATACTACTATGAGAAGCTCATGTATGCTGTCTCTGCGTCTTCTGTACATCCCCCTGTCAGATGTGCACTGTCAACTGAAGATCAGCCCTGACACTGCGATAAATCACATAAAACGGAGTCATCACCGTTATATAATGTTCCGGTCGTTCTGCAATGCATTTCGTGGTGGAAAACAAATGAAATTTGATAAACTTAACTGTAAAATGTGAAATTCTCTTAGATGAATTATCGTGCTTCAAGACGATGTAGGCATGTTCACGCAAACTCGTACGATTAATGGAGCCTTTCTTATATACGTACCCAGCGAGCTTATTTAGACAAGAAGTCGTTACGCAGCAGCACTATGTGATTTAGAAAATTATCTTGATAATGCTGAACGTCATCTACCAGCGTATTAACATTGTGATTAAAAAGTGATTGCCAGCAAATTGTTTCTCGTGTTCCCATTCTATCCTGATTTATCGCATTTCGTTGCTTTCCTCTTCGTCGTATGAATCGATTAACTTTTTACGTAGTCACAAAATAACATATTGTTCGCATTCCATGGGGGTTAGTTCATCATTCATCTCTTGCACGATGGGCATCAAATGTAAGAACGCCATTTCAGTGAACGATATCACGATGCTAAGGGTATCACTAATAGTTATTGTCAACTGTCGTTGAAGCATTACTCATCGCAGACTGATGAGGTATTACATTCTTTCATGAACCTGCGATGATTCGCTCTCTGTTTCCGTGACTGGGTCTGGAGGCTTATATTCTAGATCACAAATTAGAAATATAAAAAAACACATGACATCAGCACTTCACGCGAACCAACCGAGAGAACCTTTCACGCCACATTAAAAATTTACGTATTTAGTAGTTTACCCTGGCACCTTTAAAAAGAGGAACTTTTGCTGGAGGTTATATAGTGGAACAAACTGAATCCCACCCATAGTAGAGTGTTTTCAAATCAAACCTTCGGAAATGCACATTATGCGTTTGAATATATCACTAAGATATGCAGGGCGTAGGTAGAGGTGCGTGGCTATGCGGTAGTCATCTTAACCTCGTGTTTTTTCAGTTGCAACAACGAGTAAATTCGCGAGGTTAGCACGATCTGTGGGTAGAAATACGACGCACCAACCCAGCATACCGAAACCAATCAATATCGACTATGGACAATCACCAGCGTTTTTCACACACGTAAGTTACGAGCAGGTAAATATGTTCATTGTTTGCTAGTTTTTTTCCAAATACTTTTATGTTAACGGATACACTCATGGTAGCCGTATGGTTGGTATCTAGTCTTCCCTTGGTGAATGACATGTAATTATTACATGAGGAACTATTTGATACCTTGAATCCAACAACTATATCTGTGCAACTATAAATGCAGGAACAATAATAGGAAAACTAGTAGTTCGATATAGAAGCTTATATTTGCGATGCCATGTATGTCAAATTCATTCACCCGTAGCTTTACTTTATAGCGCTATTAACTCTTTTTTCGCATTTAGATTGCCATGAAAAGAATGCATATATATATATTATATTCTAAACCTTTAGCAGTAGGGGATTTTCCGAGTGATCAATAAGTAGAATTGCTGTGCAGTGATCACCTTATCGGTGTAGATGACTCTGAAACACCTATTTGCTTGTATGATTTTCTATAAATATGTCAACAGAGGTCAAATATCACAACAGGAGCAAATGCGAAAAAATGGAATAACATAAGCTCGCATCTTACACAAATGGTAATACTATATATATATATATATATATATATATATAGTGTATATAGTACATAATATATAGTATATGTAAGTAACCAACATTTACTGAAACAACTGAAGTTTCTGACATTAGAAACAACTGAACAACTTACACTAACTCGAGTAGTAGAAACGACAGCATTACACAGAAATCCCACGATACACGAATAATCCATTATGTTAAATTACTGTAGTTTCCTGTGATCTTGCTGTCATTCGCCGTAGAATAAATATGTAATATAATTATACATATATAATAATATATTTTGAACTGCTCTTTAGTAATCACCTTTACTATTATTCGAAAATAGAAAACGGCTCTTTTAGCTTGGGCATATAGAGCAATTATAATGAAATTTCATGCTTTATAAAGTCATATTTATTGTAGATAAAATAGCTTGCCAAAGAAAAATCTCATTGCCCATGAGCATCAGACACTCCCCTTAACGGATACCTATAGATATATTCAAAACAGCGAGCAATTCCTTGCGCGCTCACCATAAAATGTGTCGACGCGTGCGTGTACCGTGCTGGCAACCGAAAAACTTGACCGCCTACAAATTATTTGGCCGGCGCGGTTTTTGAATTGCGTATAACGTAGTCGCCCAGCTGGGAGCGCTAAAGAGCTCCAAAAATTCGCCGAAAAATTCCTTATATTTTACGATGTGTGCACGTCAATATGTAGTGATGTGTGAGAGTAGGATCCAGTGAAAGTACAGTAAAACGAGAATAATCAGCTTAATAAGGTAATATCATTAGCTTAACAAGTTTATTCAGCGTCGACCGATTACTGTCAATCGCTCGCACGCGAACATAATTGCTCGCCTTCATGTAATTAGTGGCAGCACGTTTACGAACAAATGCGCACACGCACACGCACGCACGCACGCACGCACGCACGCACGCACGCACGCACGCACGCACGCACACACACACACTCACATACTCACACGCACGCACGCACGCACGCACACACACGGGCGCCCCCCACACACGCACGCACACACACACACGCACACACACATACACACACACACACACGCGCGCCACACGCACCCCTGCATTAACAAAGAAACACACGCGAGCGCATACATACACACATAACACACATAAGCGCGTACGTGCTCACTCACTCTCGCAGACCAACCCATACACGCGCGGTATGCCGGTATCATACGGAAAACTTGTAGGTATGCACATAAGAGATGTGCAGCTTTAACAGTCGGATGCCTAAATGCTGCGGTACCAGTGAAGATGCTTGAGTGAGACATTAAGAAACGTCGGATAATAATTGATGCATGCGCAGTGATTCTTGGCAGCCATGTCTAGCAATAATCGTAGCAGTGCACCGTGAATGTCATTACGTCATAGATAAGTGCCGCTTATTGATAGAAATGACGTAGATATTATGTAAAGATGTAGCTGTAAATAAAACGCGATTTTGTTGTGTTATCTTATATATTTTACATGTGTCGTATTGGCCTTGTAATTATAATGGGCAATAGAAATCACGTTTTATATTTGCTTCTATAATTTAGTACGTAGTTGGATATAGCTATTATAGCTATATAATAAGATCAACAATAACACTATACGCGTAGGTCTATATGCCCTAGCTAGTCATATCACATTCTGCTATTCCACATCGTCCAACTTACACAAGCAGTGTACACATGCTCAGTAATCTAATTTGCTATTATAAATAATATAGCGCGTGTATGTTTGTGTGTGTGTGTGCGCGTGTGTGTGTGTGCGTGCGTGTGTGCGTGCGTGCGTGCGTGCGTGCGTGCGTGCGTGCGTGCGTGCGTGTGCGCCTGCGCGTGCGGTAGACGTGTGTATGCGTGCTTGTGTGTGTGTGTGTGTGTGTGTGTGTGTGTGTGTGTGTGTGTGTGTGTGCGTACATAAACTACTACATGTTACACGCTTCGAATTTTTATAATAGTGTAAAAGTACTGCTGCGAATCTCTCGTTGTGTCTGGGTATTTTTTAAACGTTTTCCCATCTTTCAGACATTCAGCCTCGGGCCGGATATGCTTCCGGTGTACCGGCAGGACTCGCCAAAAACACCTCCTCACATCATCCTACATTATGCAACATTCAAGGCCATATGGGATTGGATCATACTGTTCCTTACTTTCTACACGGCAATCATGGTTCCTTACAACGTAGCCTTCAAAAACAAAACAATGGACGCAGTCGTCTTGCTCGTGGTTGATACAATAGTTGACGTGGTGTTTTTCGTTGACATTGTGTTAAACTTTCATACGACGTACGTCGGAGCAAACGGAGAGGTGGTGTCCGATCCTAAGATTATACGAATGAACTATTTGAAAAGCTGGTTTGTGATAGACCTACTGTCGTGTCTGCCATACGATGTCTTCAACGCATTTGATCACGTCGATGTAAGTAAGACGTATATACTATGTTGTAAAACAAGCTCGCTCTAGCGCGCGCACGCACGCACACGCTTACGTTTACGTACACGCTCTTGGAATCACGCGTAAAAATACTTACATACATGCGCTATAACCAGCTGGTGAAGATCGTCACGGGTTATATATATATATGTTAATAAACCCGATCGATGTTAACAGAACAATATATAACAGACGATATTTTGATGTTATATGACGATGTTTCGTAACATCACTGTGACTGTGGTTCAGGACAAAATATAATTAGTCCATCCGAAATCCAATTAGTTTCGTGAATTGAGTTAATAGCGGACCCTGCTAACCTGCTTCGTGAAAAAGTCAAAAGAAATGGATGTCTTACTGATTTCCCAGCGTTTAACTATTATGCTGCAACTACAACATGTCTTTTCATAAACTAGGGATCCAGACGGTTAAAATGAGACCAGTCCCAGCTTGTTATACCTCCGGTAGGGGTCCACTTAATTTTTTGGGTCTCGGTCACTGCACTATATGTCTCTCTTATTAGCTATCATCTTACTCGGAGGTTTCGCTATCTACTAATCCGTACCGATAGATTTGGCTATATCGTTAGGTGTTTATCGATGAATCGCATGAGTATTTACTGAGCAAACACCTACTGCGTTCAGCGATAGCTCATCAGTTAGCGCTAACAGCAGTACACAGTGAAGCAGTAACGCTATCACGCAGTACACGTCGGGTCCGTTTTTCGATTCGAGCAACCAGACATTAGTGATGAGCTTACTCGCTAAAACTTATATTGCGTTATTGGTAGATAAACACAATGCTTGGATAACACCGCCCCTTCACTCTGACAGCAGAAAGATATCGCAGACTGTTTCAAATGTCGGTGCATATCATTCTTCTAATAACCGTTATTTTTGCAGGGGATAGGAAGTCTCTTCAGTGCCTTAAAGGTCGTGAGACTACTGCGGCTAGGAAGAGTTGCACGAAAGTTAGATCATTATTTTGAGTACGGGGCTGCTATGCTTATTCTGTTAATATGTCTCTTCCTACTGGTCGGACATTGGTTAGCCTGCATCTGGTACACTATAGGTGAGTTTAACCTTATTACACTAAAAAATAAGTGCCTTGCATAGCCTGAATGACAGCCTAAACCTTTACACTTTATACTAAAGAATAAGCCTAATCCAGTTTCATCTTACTGCACATTCTGTTGCATACATTAGCCTGAATTTTTGCAACATGTAGATTTTTACCGTCTAAAATCAATAAGATACAACTAAAAGCCTGATTTTAATAACATTGGCACTTCATTACGTTGGACGCCTGTGTTGATTATCAGCGCTTGTTGCTTATCAGCACGCATGCATTGTCACACACTCACCACGAGATTATTAACCATTAAAATATTCAAGGAGTGTTCAACTATACCGCGAAACTACGTCTCAGCTTCAACGATCCGGCTCGGTTAAACCATGGATTATTTATACTATGCGTATGAAATTTCACAGTTAAAAGGCAGGTGCATGAAATAAAATCATCGTACAATATCACGGCCTGTAGCGTTCAAAGCAACTAATTATGGCGGTGCGCTGATCGCCACAGCGATACCCAAAATAATCAATGAAGCTAGTCTGGACGATAGAAAGCCATCGGTACTCAAAATATATTTTATATATACATTTTGGTTCTCGCACTCACTGTACGACAAAAGTTAATAATAATAACTCTACGAAGTATTATTTTACCGCCTGATTTAACTTTAAGCGATGCTGAACGCTACGCTAGTATATTTCCACAAGGAAATATGATTAAAGTAAGAAATTATAGCTAGCGAGCATGTACATGCCTATTAAAAGAAAGGTTAGGCTTTATGAACGGGCATCGAGGAAGAGAAGTAGCGGGATGTTAGATTTCATATCGCAAAGGGTTATTACATGATCTGGCTACAGATGCAACAATCTACTCTATCCCTAATAATAACCATCTTCACAGCTTTTTTCTTAGCCCAAACCTTAGCCCCTTAACCAAAACTACAACCATGACCGCAACCATAATCCTATTCATACCCCTAACGCCATAATCATAACCCTGACACTAACCATAACTTTTACCTTCATCATAATCCTGACGTTACTTATGGCGTCGAATAAAAATAAAAACGAATAACGTGTTATTATAGGCAATGTCCCCTCGCGAGATCCCTTTCCTTGACAACCATAGCAGAAAAGTATCATCGCTTGCGTGGCAAGTTATGCTCATAGCAGGTCACACCAACCCTGGTTTCATCTTTAGGTGTGGCTGATGCTGAACAGAATGAGGAGATGGGCTGGCTGTGGCAGCTGGGGGACACTTCAGGCAGTCCGTACTACTTCAACGTCAGTTCCACACCTGCCACGCTGCAAGGCGGACCGGGTCAATCGACCAAGTACGCTACCGCTCTCTACTTTACGATGACATGCATGACGAGCGTTGGATTTGGTAATGTCGCACCAAACACTGACAAGGAAAAGGTGTTCGCCATCATAATGATGGTCATAAGCGGTGAGTAACAATACAAATGCCAATCAATCATATTGTAGCCTCGCACTTCTAGGGTGAGGTACAAGAGCAGTAAGAGTAGAGCATAGCAACAGCGTTACAATATCAACTCCGTTACAATAGCAGCTCCGTTACAATATCAAGTGTAACACATTTAATATATTCAGATCGAAGGCCGTTCTCTGTGTAAATTTACTTGAAATACGGTATTAACGCCCAGTTAGGTTAGGTTCATTGTCATTTCTTGCGTCTAATCGCAACGGTACCCGTCTAATTAGTGAGTGGCGTCGGATTTCAGATCATCAACCGAGCCGCTTTACCTTTATTAAGAGCTGACAAGTTTAGGCTTGTTTCTTCATCAGCACTAAACATGCTCCACATTGACCTTAACGGCTATGTTGTGAAACATCAACCATTGTGAACTATCATAATCAAGCACTTTAATTAATTACTTAGCTTACCATTCCAGGAAACGTACCAAATGACGCAAATCCTTCATTGTCAAAGAACTACAACAAACTTGCTCCTGCGTGGATGCCCAAGAAAGGCGCTGATGCATTCTCCCCGTACGACTAACGCAATATACAGTAGCGACCGACTCACGCTGATATTCTGTTTTATTTTTCTCTCTTCCAGCTCTGCTGTACGCGTCCATCTTCGGTAATATGACGACGATATTCCAGCAGATGATGGCGACGACGGCTCGCTATCATGAGATGCTGAACAATATCCGTGAGTTCATGAAGCTGCACGAGGTTCCTAAGCAACTAGGAGAACGCGTCGTTGACTACGTCGCATCGTCTTGGGCCATGACGAATGGAATTGATACTGAAAAGGTATTGACGCGGCTGCGCTGATCGGCTGGGATTCCGTCCCCTATAGTCCATATTTATAACAGTTATTTATATTCCCATAATCCTGTTCATTTATGACACAAGGTAGCAAGTATCCTTCGTCAATTAGGTTTGTCGTGTATCACGGCTTCTGCCCCGACGTGTAAAAACTACTACTCTTTGCTGGCGGTTAAGAGAACAATTCAGTGTGTTCTCTAGTGTTGTATGTGACTTTATCACAACTAGGACTTGACTGCGAAGATCCACAATATGTTAGCGATTAGGCGATCCTTGGAAAATCGTTTAGTGTTATAATATATGTGATTATGTTATGAAATATTGTATTACGACGTGCAACTACATTACCTTAAAATTAGTCTCCCATAGCTTCAGAGTATACGCTAAACTGATCCATGAGCTAATGTTGCCTTATATGATGCAAATCGTTCCAATAGTCAATAAATACACGCCCATTAAATATCCACACACGGCCACACACCGCACGCACGCACGCACGCACACACGCACGCACGCACGCACGCACATGACACAGATAGGTGCGTGCGTAGGTAGACTAGGATTACACGGTGGAAAACGCGATAGCATTATATTTCTTTTATATTCGCAGGTGCTCAATTATTGTCCCAAAGATATGAGGGCTGACATATGCGTGCATCTGAACCGCAAGGTGTTTAACGAGTTACCTGCGTTCCGGCTAGCCAGCGACGGCTGCCTGCGAGCGTTGGCGATGCATTTCACTACAAGTCACAGCGCTCCCGGCGACTTGCTCTACCACACTGGCGAGAGTCTCGACGCGCTCTGCTTTGTGACGTCAGGGTCACTCGAGGTCATCCAGGACGATGAGGTGACGGCAATTCTTGGTACGTGTCACCAATCGCGACCCTACACGAGAATGATACATTAAGTATAACATACACTATGGTTACTGTAAGTTTGTATCACGAAACATTGAGCTATCTGTATAGCGATCAGCATCTTCAATTTTCAGCTCCTCTGTTGACTCTTCTCTTCCTCCATTCTCTTCCTTTCTGCCTGAACGCTCTTACTCGACTTCTCTCGCCCGCTATCTCTCCTCTTACGTAGTCTTTTAGGTCATTTATTCTGTAAGCTGTTGTCTCATTCAGGCATTTTTTAATCGTATAGGAAAGGGTGATGTATTTGGAGATTACTTCTGGAAGGAACAGTCCCTAGGTCAAGCATGCGCCAATGTCAGAGCGCTCACTTACTGCGACCTGCACATGATCAAACGCAACGCCCTCCTGGAAGTCTTGGAGTTCTATCAATCGTTTGCGAGCTCCTTTGCGAGAAACTTGATGCTCACATACAATCTGAGGAAAAGGGTAGGCTTCGATCGGTTATATTAAGTTGTTACCCGCACTGTTCATTAATTCCTCATTTTGCCTGTTGGTGTTGTGGTTGGTTTTATTGTTATTGTTGCTGCTGTCCTCCTCCTCCTCCTCCTCCTCCTCGTCGTCGTCGTCGTCGTCGTCGTCGTCGTCGTCGTTGTTGTTGTTGTTGTTGTTGTTGTTGTTGCTTGTAGTTGTTTTTATTGCTGTTGAAGAAGTTTTGGCAAAGTAATATTTTCATAATCATTAGCGATACGTCTAAATATAAAGTATGCGCTGGAGTAAACGTAGGCAATACGTAACTATATTATAACAACTTTATATTGTACAACTATATAATAATAACTATATACATATATAACTATGTATAACTGTATATAAAAATTATATTGTAAAAATATAACATAACGTAACGTAACGTAACGTAACGTAACGTAACGTAACGTAACGTAACGTAACGTAACGTAACATAACATAACATAAGATATCATAACATAACATAACATAACATAACATAACATAACATAACATAACGTAGCGGAACGCAACACAAAAGAATAACACAACACAACACAACACAACACAACACAACACAACGCACTACAATGCGATGTAGTACAAAACTCAACGTAGTAGAATGAAATACCACGCGCAACCGGACAAAGCACAATGCAATGTAATACACAATGTAAACTTAACATATCACAACGCAATTCAATACAATTAAAAAAATAAATCTGAAATAACATGAGCAACAAACCCGGTGTACATTTTGCGTGCGTAGATTTACGACTAGATCACATTAGAATAGCCATAAATATAACAAAGAAGCCCGATATCATACCTGTCGAACGTAATAGAATTTTATTTCAACAAAAGGAAAGTACGAAATTATTCTTAGATGTAACAATCTGCTTCGTCATATTTCTGCTTCAGCTCGTCTTTCGCCGACTCGTTGACGTCAAGCGAGAAAAAGAATGGGAGGAAAGGCGAAAAAACGAACCCGGACTCGACGCGAACGAAGACAGCATTGTACGCAAAATGTTCTTACGTCTCCGCAAAGTGAGTGACGTCACGCAATTGAACACTCACACGGGAAACGGTGACGTGTCAAGAAAGAGCGATGCCGAGAGAGGGGAACAACGCGTCGAATCAGCGAGATATCCTAAGCAAATAATCGTGTCTGAACATAATAGCCCCGCTCATGATCCTCTACCGACCACGACGAATACGGCTCTCGCCCTCACCAGGGGCAAGAATAGCGGATCGCGGTGGGGCAAAATGATGTCAACAAACAGCGGTAAACCGCAGGAACTGCAGAAGGTCCCTGATGTTCAGGAACCGTGTAAGGAAGTGCGAGAACGGTCGAATTCTAACTCGGCCAAATTGCCAGCTGTAAAACAATCTCGATGGGGAAAGTTTCTCGGAGGAAGTGGCGATACCGAAATAAGAAATTCCCCCATCAAACAGACTGCGATACCTGAAGTGCATCGCGAACCGCAATCAAATAAGGGGAAAACTACGACAAATGTGTTTTCGCGTTGGGGAGACCAGAATAAATCAGGCATCAGCTTACCACAAACTTCTACATCTAAGGCGGGTCCTTCTGGTTCAGCCGACAGTGGGTTGCCTTGGAGCGATAGCGGGAAAAGTGACACCACTTGTTCCTTGCCACCGTCGGGAAATAGTAGTGTCTTGTCCGCGCCAGAGATTCTCACTCTACTACAGGGGTTAACGGAGATCAGAGTCGAACTGCGAAACAATATGTCGACGATAAATAAAAAAATCGAGAAGATTGACGTGAAAATATCGGGCGTCATGAGCTTCATATCAACTGCGAGTGAGACGGAGAAGGATAGCATGCGACCACAGTTAGAACGCGAGAGTTCGTGGGACTCCTCGGATTTCTTCTCTAGCTTGAATCAATCGGCGACAACAATGCTCAGCAGTCCGCCTATAAAACCCGTCGTAAGCGGGCAGACTAACACACTCGGCGCCACCGGCGACACTCAGGCGAAAATACCCATCACATCTTTCTCGAAGAATGGCACTACCTCGCGGCTCATCGATGCAGAAACGCAGCGCGCATCGAAGCCGGCTGACACGGCCCTGAAGGATATGAATCCAGCTATATCACGCCAGTCTTCGAGTGACTTGCTGGCTATGATGGAGACGGAGATAGAAGATCAGAGCACGGGCGCAGCAGCGACTAAAGATGAAAACAGCGACGAGCTATTCTTTTGATGGCTTCATTCCACGAAATCGTGCGCCGGATACTAGACAACATAATCATTTCTATAACTCGAATTATCAACGTGCTAAGGTACCTATCGTATTCACAGTGCATGGATTATATTTCTCGTTACCGATATACCCTTTCCTAACCGGTGACAATCATTTTATCATAATGCGTCGTAGAAAGGAGTTTTGATATTTAACATTATCCGCGGCTATATCTGACCGGCGACCGACAGCGTCCTGGAAAGCGTTTCTTCTTACAGAGCCAGATTGTACCTCATTCGATTTATATTCCAAGTTATACGCCAGATATGGCAGCACTGTAAAATTACGGCCAATAAGGTAGGCAACGTTACGTTGGCCATCATAAACCGTATGTATGTAGATGAATGCGAATAGGTTGCGGTCATAATGGGAAATTGACACCTATGTGATATGAAATAATATTGTTACTATAGTCATATTTAACTAATATAATTTAACTTATACTATTTAAAAATACGAGAATCGATGATTGTGGATCACTTTTTTAAGATTCCTTTTTAAATTTTAAAGTAAAACTTATCGTTGAACGTAATGCATAATAATTAACATATGAATTTTTACCAAAAAAATTTAGAGCATGTTAATAATGAATTACTGTACAGCAATTCGAATGCTAAATCTATGCTTTTAACGATGTTAAAATATTCTATGCATAATTATATTTGTTCTTATTTAACTTCTCGCTATAGTAAGCGGATTACTAATGGATAGCCTTTCTATTTAAATATTTACGTTTAGGAAAAACTTGGGGGAAATGATTTCATCCATGAAAGCAGCGTCG